TGTTTTTATCTGCTTGCCTGGTTTTATTGCAAGCTCGAGTGAGGACTACATCCTTGGTTTCACAGGCTGCCATAGATATCATTAGCAGTATGAGAAGGAGAGTCAGAGAGAACGGGAGTCATTGCAATTTCTGATGACGATTTCTGTTGTGTGGTTTAGAGCAAGTCAATTCACTGCTCTGTATTTTTCTTTCTTTGCCTAATATTTTCACCTGCCTTGTTTGTTTAGAAAGACAGCGTCATAGTACAGGACATTTTGTGCATGTTTTTACAGCAGGGCCTGTCTAAAATTGGTGATGCTTTTAGAAGCAAACATACTGCATATACAGAAAAAAGAAAAATTATTTTATTTTGCATTTGCTATGCCAGGAGCTGTGCAGAGACCTGCTCAGTTTTACCCGTGTTATAGAATAATCCTTGTTCCTATTTAGGCTAAGACAAATTTTAACCCTTCACCTGGGGATTGGTAGATTGAAATCCAGACTTCCCCACTAGGGTGAAGTTTCGTTTGACCATCACATATAAAGTCTGTGCTGCAGCATCAGCCAGTCCCGATATTGAGATTTAGAAGGTGGGAGGGCTGGTCATGACATGGATCTGAGTTAAATTCACTAATCTGTGCATGTATAAAACCATTTCTCCTTTTTTTTTTCTTCCCTGAAAGAGATTTTATTTCAGTGCAAATTTTGGCATCTCAGAAAGGGAGTAAAAAACTATTTCACACCGCTTGGTTTCCTTGATTTGCTTTTTGAGTTGTGCCTCCCTTTTTTAGTACTTTTCTTATTATTGCTGTCTTCCTTGAATCATTTTCTTCCAGTATTCTCAGATACACAAATCTCTGTATCGCTGCTGTGCCATGTTTCTGGTGTCCACCTTCACCTCATCCCCTGCTCTGCTGAGATCTTCAGAAAGCTTTGTGTTCCCAGGTAGGCCAAGGTGTCTCCAGGCCCCAGCTCCTGCCAACCACTTCTGCTGCCTGTTTGCACTGTGCCCTGAAGAACTACAACCATGTCTATTTCCACACAACACACAAGCTATTTCAAGACTGACTACATGTGCTCTTTTGATTTCCTTGATAATTCATTTTTCTGAGACAGATTCCACTCCGTTCCTCCTATGGGGTTTGCAACCCTAAAATCCTTCTACTTGTTGGTACAAAAGCTGTCTATACCTTCTGCTATGAGCTGCTGCAACCCTTGGGTACTGTTTTGTCAGCCATACCTCTTCAGTCTCTATCTACCTCTTTAGTCACCTTACCTTCTACCTGCTAAATTATTTAACTTAGAAATTGTGTTAACCATTTGTGTGATTAACAGGTTTAGCTTTGTGAAATGTTTCAGGGTAGAGCTTGAATAAAATTTTCTGTACAAAGCAAGAAATGTTGCAACTAATAATCTCAAAAAGGCTAAATTTGCCCAAGAGGATTCCCAGAGAGTGTCAGCAAAAGTGGGTTTGATTTTACATGTAAAACCAGAAACAGTCTGTGTTAAAAACCAGAAGAGAGCATTGTACAGACCACGGGATGATGACAGTGGATTTTAATGGCTTGTTTGGGGTGACTGAAGAGTGCTTGTTTTAGTTTATAAGTAACATCTGCAAAGTTAAACAGCTGGTTTATCTTCAACTGCTTCTCAGTTGCAATTACAAAATATTGCAAGCTCTTGATGTGGAGTTTATATGAAAATACAGAATAAAGCTTTAATTTGAACAATCTGCGTTACTACTGTTCATCTGTTCAGGGGGTTTAGGACAACCTGGAAGATTTATGGGTGCATATTCTGGTAAAAGTGGGGCCTGAGGCAAATATGAACTATATAGATATATAAAAACTATATAAAATATATAATAAAAATATGGAAATGCTTCTTAAAAGAAATACTTTTATTTTGTGGTCACCAACATGGTGTCTGGGTGCCTTCCTGTAGCACATTAAGTGGTTACTGCAAATTTGTTTATTCTGTGCACCGAGTAATAAAAGGCCTGGGTTAAAATTGTTATTTTAAAAATTATTTGTAATAGAGTTCAGGTAAGGTTTGTTGCAGTTACTGTTAGTAACATTCAGAATAAAGCTGAATATATGAACTTTGTAATGACAGATTGTGATTCAGTAGTTACAGATTTGCTGGTCTCAAGAACAATGAGCAGTGCCCTGAGAGTTAGATACACACTTGATGACTAAATGGAAGTAATCAAGGTGAGATACCTGGGCTGTTCTCCTTCTGCAGAAGGTAAGCATCCATCTTTCCACTGCCATAGAAATGGCTACTTCCAATGGCACACACAGCTTTTGTCTGACTTCCTTCTTGGCTCAGTGAGATGCTGCTGCACAAGACCTCAGCAGGGAAAGGAAAGAGATCGAGGTACTACTTTTCATAGCAATGGACAGGATCTGCAGAGCCATGAAGTTGGTGCCTTGCACCACCTGTAACATGATGTCTGTGGGTAAGGGCCCGGTTCCACACTGATGGTGGGGAGGGGAAGCCAGGCAGATAGGTGGTAGTTTATGTTTGTTTCAACACTGTTTGACAAGGAAATGCAAAGCTACAGGAGAAAGCTGTTGTTTCTAGCAGAGGAACCAGCTCTTGCTCTATTGCACTGTCCCCAGGGGCTGTTCATTGGCCCCCAAGAAGTTGTTACCCCTTTTCCTCCCTGTGTTTTGTTACTGTAATTTTTCCTGCTGATGATTTCACTGCTGGAAGTCGTGATTGCTTGTAGGAACCAAAAAGCCCAAGTTCAGAGTATTCCATCCTGAAAACACCTCAGAAATGGAAGTGTTATACCGCACATCCCTTCTTTGAGGACAAATGCCAGCCACAGTCAAACCCCATCACAATCTCTCAGCTCTTACATCCCACAGAAAGACAAGGGTGGAAAAACTTAGAATAAAATACGGCTTCGAATCTTTTTAAGTTAGGAGCAAACAGTTTCAAATAATGCTTTCTCAATGAGGAGAAGCAAATATTCCTGCACTGCAGGCAGTGACCTCCTGTAGAAGTAGGTCTGCTCTATCCCGAATTCTCTCATAGCCATATTTTGCTAACACACACACACACACACATTTATGTGATTGCAGAAGAAGCTTAACAAGAATCTCCAGAATCTCCCAGGCCAGGCTGGCAGAAGGGGTTTAGCTGCTGAATTTCAATGCCTATGTTTGGGACATCCAAAACTTAGTAGAAGAGGGCAGCTGCTGTCTGTTTTTCCATTTCTCATCACTCTGCACCAAACCAGCAACAAAAAAGGGCTACAGAAAATTAATTAATCACAAATATCCCTAAGTCCTGCAGAAATATGACCATCTTTCTTCCAGTAAAATGAGGACCATTTTTTAAGTGTTTCAATAGTTTCTCATAGGAAAATACTTCATAGGTATTAATTAATCCTGGAAGTGAAATCTGATTATTTAAAATGTGTACATTTTAAGAAGTTTCTAAGATTATTCAAGAGATATCATTAATAAAATAAATTGGTTTGTGTAACAAAAGTGAGCATGGTAATTGGATGAGCATATTATCTGGATACTCTCCTACTACAGCTGATCATATTTGTTATTGCCAGTCTGTCAGTATGGCAGAAGTACAAGCTCAGTTGCAGATCTTCATGGAGGGTTTTTTTTCTGAATTCTGAACTGCTTATTGCAAAAAGTCAAAGTTCAAATGAATACTGGATTGCATGGTAAATACATTTCCTGATTGATTTACAGAGCTATCAATTAAAAAAAAAAATCAAATCCCAGAAGCTTTTGTAATTAAAGTGTTGGAAGCAAGTCAGAAATTGTCAGACAAAGCTTGCTGATAGGAACACACAAAAGAATTGAAGAATAATTCCAGAACTGAGGAAATGAGTATAGTTTTCCCGCTTTCTTCCTGGTACAAATTCTGTCTTTCTTTATATAGCTGCATAATGTTAAAACTGTTGTTATACATGCAGTAGTAAAAACTACACCATTCAGGAGAACTCAGTATTATTTCTCTTAAAATAACTGATATTTTCTCACACTGTATCATTCATAGTTACAAAATACATATGCAAATATAAATCAGCCACAAGGCATAATTTAAATCATAACAACAAACTGATTCTTCATGTGCAGAAGGTTGTGCAGAGGAGCTTTACAGAACCTAGGATGAGCAGGATAAAAAGAAAACACCATGATCTTGCAAGTCAACTGAGTTCAGCAGAGCACCTATTTTTGTGTCACGTTGAACGTGGAGTATTCCTGAGTCACTGGGTGTGACGTCTGCCTGCCTCCGGTCGGTGCCTGTCGGCACACAGCACCACACGCGCATGGGGAAAAACATAAACCCAAGCCCCAGTAAAGCCAAGTGTGCTCATAGACATCTGGATCACCCTCAGGGACAGGCAGACATTCCCAAAGACATCAAGGCAGAAGCTGAATTCCAGAGCTACCTGGTTTGCTAAAATGCATCTACACTATGAACTTGTCTGCTCTGCCAAGAAGCAGGGAGCTGCCTCTTATTACTTAGTTTAAAACTAGAACACGTACCTTTTACACACCACCACAGCACAAGGTCCAGTCCCACCCTAAGCTGACCCAAGAATGGCTGGAAGAAAGCTGACAGGATTCTCTCTTAACATTCTGGCCCCTTGACCAAGATCACTCCCTTTGCTTTTGTATATTTACTCTAAAGTATCATAATATTTTTAAGGGATTTCATTTAGGAAGCTGACACAATAAATGGATAAAAAAGAAGTAGCATTCAGGAGGCCAGACTCTAGACTCTGTTGGGGGAGCTCAGTTTCTTTCACCCGCAGAGGAACATCTTCCACCCCCAAAACAAAAAGTGCACTCCCTGCTCCACCACCACAATTCTGTCTCTTTCCAGCTGTAATATAGTCAAGAAGACCAGCTTAACAAAGCCCAGCTGCCGAGACGCAAGGAGTTTGCACACAGTACTTCAAGCCTGTTCTTTTCTGCCACGTCTACTGTAATAAATTCAACCCATTTGCACCAAAACATAAAAAGAATAGTATCACACATTGAAAAACAGAGGAATAGATTTTAATCAACCTATCATCCAACAAACACACCTGTTTTATTTTGCTACTGAATACGACATTTTTGGTTTAACTCTACACATCGTTGTCAGCAGCCTCCGCCTTCAGAAGCCTGCAGATTTTCTAGATATTCGGTGACAGCCTCGATCTCTGCAAACTCCAGTAGTCTGTTGATTAGCTTATCCAGTGCTTCTTTCCCACACAGAATTTCCTATGGAAAAAAAAGCAGACAAAAGCATTACTGACTGTACTTCAGTACTATTCTGAAACGCTGACTACTCCAATGAGGAGCCCCCCTGAAATGCTCTTTTTCTGCAGCCTGTCCACTTGCTCACTCTTGCAGTTTCTGCCTGTGTGAAAGCAACACGTGGTGGACAGCAGTGGGACTTGGCTGGCTGCCTGTGAAAGGTACATTGATTCTGGTAGCAACAAAAGGAGCTACTGGTGCCTTCCCACCATATTTTCATGTAACCCATGCGCTTACATGAAAATCCCCCATAAGAACAATCAAGGACTGAAGAACCTAATTCTAATGCTGTTGTCTGTGCCAAAAACTAGGTTGTTCTGCAAGCAAAGCACAAATAACTTTTGTTAGGCAATTTATGGTTCCAGTTTCACTCAAAAAAGTAACGAGTTCCCAGCACAAAGTAACTGACTAAGAAAAGTCACCTTTATGCAATCATGGAACTATTTCCTCCACCATGGTATTCTGCACTCCATTAAATATAAACCATTTAGCATGCCCTGCGGTCTCTGGATTTACCCAGGACACATGTGGGTGCAGTTTGAAAGGCGTTGCTCCTTATGCAATAGCACTTATGGCTAAGTGCTGTAAGTGGATATCTAAGCCAAAATATCAAGGGATCACCCTAAACTTTGTTCTGACATTCAAAACATTTACATAAATTTAATACTCAAAATCCATTATCAGGAGTCTTTTTCACTTTTAAAAAACTGCAATAAATTGGATCATGGAACCATAGAATAGCCCGGGTTAGAAAGGACCTTAAAGATCATCTAGTTGCAACCCCCCTGCTGTGGCCAGGGAGAACTTTCACTAGACCAAGTTGCTCAAAACCCCATCCAATGTGGCCTTGAACACTTACTGGGATGGGGCATCCACAGCTTCTCTGGGCAACTTGTTTCAGTGCCTCACCACCCTCACAGTAAAGGATTTTTTCCTAATATCTAATCTAAACATACTCTCTTTGAGTTTGAACCCATTCCTCCTTGTGCTGTCACTACATGCCCTTGTAAAAAGTCTCCACCTTTCTTGTAGGCTTCCTTTGGATACTGGAAGGATGCAATTAGGTCACCCCGGAGCCTTCTCTTTTTTCAGGCTTAACGATCAATAAGATTCAAGCCATATGTAGATATTTACTCAGAAATAAGATCTCAGATAATCTTAAAATGAAAACAATTCAGTTGCAGTTTCTTTTAAGTCTGACCTCTGAGGCAAACATAAAAGTATTTTTGTTTTTCACCTCAGCTTTAGGAGGAGAAAAGAATGGCTTAACAAAAATAAAAAGTCCCTCATGTCAGCTTTTTCTTTTGGATGTACTATGCTTCAAGAATCTCAAATGTCACCTGCCCAGTTTGGCCGAGAAACTCATGGAGCTCATTGAGGACTACATGCTTGATCATTTTCCACTCCTATAGCAGAAGAAAAATACACAGAGAAGTAGACTAGTGAGCTATAGCCTGTGTCAGTAATCTCTAACACTACAAGAAGGCAGGAAAGAAAGTTTAAGCTTTCCAAATCTACAATGTTCTGTCAGAGCACAACTGGCTACTTTATCATGTATATATATTAAATTGTTTTCACTAAATTATTTTTTCTTCTTATGGTACACCTAAGTATCTAACTTTAAATACTCTCATAAGCAACCATTACCTTGATATTGCGTGCCTCATATGAGATCCTGTGGTCAGTGACTCTGTCCTGGGTGAAGTTATAAGTACGAATTCTCTCTGACTGGGCTCTTGTTCCCAGCTGTAGCAAAGCAGAAAAAAACAAATTTTGTTATGTTACGTTTTTAAAAAATCAATTACTTCTCTAGAACAGCATATTTAGAATAAACTTTAATGGATGAGCCTCTTTCAACCACAAACCTAGCAATCACTGCCTTAGCATATGGGGTTTTTTTAAATATTGTGGCATTACTAAACTGTATTGTTTGTGATTCTGTATCACAGGCCAAGTTTTTATATCCTCCAGCACATTTCTATTCCAGCTCTGTAGCTGGAAGAACTACTTAACTCTCAAAAGTCATGTAAGGCAAGAGATACATCTATATGAGTCCTTAGTTTCAAAATGTAAGTATTTTTCCTTTTTGGGGGGTTATAGCTCTCACAAAAAAGTTATGAAAGTAGTCTCCATTAATAACGGAAGCAACACAGTCAACGCGTGGCTATCGGAAATTAGCACCAAAAGAGTAAATCAGGAGTGAGAGGCTAAGTTACCCTCTAGTGGTAAAGTGCGAGAGTGCAAGCAGCACTCATCTGGACTCAATATGTGTAATTCAAAAGAAGGGATTTTTGGGATAAATTCTGAGATATTAGGAAAGGTAAGTCACTTTTGCCTGATTTTCCACAGTATTCATATAAAGGTTCATCTAAGTCCTTTATGCAACTTTGAAGACTCTCAAGCCGAAATTAATAACAAAAGATAAATGGCTCACTGCTTGCAACGATGGGGGAATACTCTACAGGAACAATACATGTAAATACAACCTGAAATTAGTGATTAAATAGCTAAGCTGGAAAATATGGAGTACTGAGTAATTTTCTGATTCTAAAGTTTTTCATTCCCATTGATCACTGTTGAATTTTGTACCACAGATGGGAAAATACTCAAAGAATGACAGGACATTTTGAGAGAAACGCACACTTTGCAGCCTAACTTGAGGTAACTCTTAGGGAAGCTGTTTCTTCCTTAAAAGGTTACCTAAACCACATCAAATAAACTGCTACCTACATGTGTAGTGTCAAGATTGTTTATCTACTTGTTTCTTTCAAAAGCTCTGTATGGCTATATCATATACTCTGGTTTAGAAACTTCTGAGAACTTCTGATCCCAGTTTTTCACGCAAAATAACTTTTTACTGATGCTTTATTTGTGTAACTCTGGCCTTAACAGGGACATTAAATATATGATGTTGAGTTTTGCCTCTTGGATAATTCCAGTTAGTCTTTTGACTCTTGTTTCCAGCCACACGTCTCTTTTCATTGCCTGAAAAGTCTACAATAATGTGGAACTGGGATAAGCAGAAACAGACTTACCATTTTAAAATACAAGATTTTCCCTTGTAAGCACACCTGGTTAGACACACACTCTTCCTTGCTCTGTCACTATCCCTCAAAAAGATCAGAAACAAATCTACAACACAGCACCCCCTCTGAATCTCAGCCATCACATGTCCTCACCTGCAGTTTTCTGGCGCTCTGCTCTTGACTTAGTTGTTTTTCAATTATCTGCTGGTACAGCTTAGCTCTCAGTGTCCGCAGAGCTATTTCCTTGTTCAGCTGCTGTGACCGCTCCTGCTGGCACTCCACTGCCAGTCCTTTACAGAGGGATTCAAGAACTCAGACCAAAAGCCCATTATAACAAGGAACAAACAAGCTAAATTAATTCTAACACATTAGGCAAATGAAATCTACTGGAGTGCTGGTTTGTAGGGCCTTTCAGCTGTGGGATAAAAAGTCATTTTAACACACTGGCCAGAACCATTAGCATGTTTTTAAACTTGTCACAGCTGCACTGGAGGGCTTTGTTCAGTGCTATAAAAAATCAGGGATATTTTAAAATTTCATGAAGCAAACAAGTTTCTGACCTTGCCTCCAGAAAATGAGTTCACTCCAATTAGCTGTCATATGTTAAAAATGCAATTTGAACAGTCTACAGAAGCATGTATAAAACAGTGTAACACAAGTTTTTAAAGTCTTAGTCCAGATAAGCTCTAGGAGACTGGAAAATTCATTATTCTGGCAGAAAAAGGTTCCCAATCAAAACTGGTGCGTCTTGAACTATGAATAATGAAATAAAGCAAAATAATGGTCTTTAAAAGAAATGTAGTACTTATTTTTACTTCTCATTTGATTTTTGAAAGAAAAAGGCATATAGGAAACAGCTGTTTTCAGGTCACTACTGGAATTTCCTGTGCTTAAAGGGATTCTGCATCTGAACAGATAGAAGCTCTCTGAATTTCAATAAACACAAATCCTGAGAAAGACAGAGTGGTCCGGCCTACATGATACCTTCCCATCAGCATACATTTTCCCTCCTATTCGACGTATGATAGCATTATCTAGTACTGAACGAAAATCTTTAAGTCGTCTTTTTTATCAGTCATGTAACTACAAAGGTTTCAGCCAAGCGAAGCATGCCCTGGATTGCCAGTGGCCATTATGCCTGAAGGTACAGAGCACACAGCACAAATCATATGCATCTTCCATCCCATCCCTGTCACCCTCCATTTGTTCTTTCATCCTTCAAAGACAGTGTATTCATTAAACACTCCCTCTGAAGACAAACTGGCATAATTGTTGTGCCACTGGTACACAGCCCTTTTCTCACATGTTGCCTTGCTACAAAAGGGGCAGAAACCAGAAAGGGTTACTTCCTTTCTTTGGTATAGGGCCCAATCTGCAAGAGACAACCTGCAGGATTCATCAGCTTTCTTTTCGGGATACAGATTTCGTGTGATTAGAAGTACGGAATACAGCCAGACTTACCTGTGGGAAGGTGTACAATTCTCACAGCACTATCAGTTTTGTTAACGTGTTGCCCTCCTGCTCCTTTGGCCCTGAATGTATCTATACGCAAATCTTTGGGATCCACTTTAACATCAACCTAGAATCAAAGAAAATTACTAGTTCCTCCTCACTCTAAAAATATTTGAATGTCAATGATACTCAGCATTTAAAAAAAAAAATCACTTCTCAAAAACTTGCTCCTCTACACCTGAGTAACAGCTATAATCATTATAACTTACAAAATGCAGTGCCAAATATCTCTGAAAAGCAAGTGATGCTTTAAATATTTCACTTATTTTTTCAAACTCTTACTCCAGGTCCTTCACAAGACAAGGGGGGTGTGTGTGTGTGTGTGTGTGTTTGTGTGTGTGTGTGTGTGTGTGTGTGTGTGTGTGTGAAAGAAAACAAAATCAACGTTTTGTAAAACCACTTGCTTTGGAGGGAGACTAAGAAATAAGCAAATATTTAAAAACTACTACTAAACAGCAGTGCAAAGATCTTGTTCATGAGTTAAGCCTGAATGATTCTTGCAACAGTACTTAGACTCATCTAACCAAGGAAAAAATAGGTATATCCAGATCCATTCAAGTAAGGATTGCCACACTGGAAATATGAGTCCATGATGACCTGGACCATAGTTTGAGCTCAGTGGATGGGAAAGGAACATTCAGATCTGATCAATGTTGCAAGGAAAGTATTACAAAGAAGGAAGAGAAGGTTCAGGGAAAGCCTACAGGATCTGAGTTTGTTCATTTTATGTGTATATATCTGGTTTAAGTGAGAACTGTTGGTATCAGTGAGATCTCAGAAAGACTAGCCAACACACTCATTCAAATTCGAAGGAGATTGTCCTTGATTTAACAGAGAAGGACACCAATAATTTAAATGAACAAAAAAAAAAAAAATCAAAAGGACCTGCAGAATCACATTAATATGCAACATTGAGTATTTTCTTGGATATATTCCCTGTATTAATACAAGATGTAATTTAAAATTGGCTTACTCATTACAGTGAGCCTTGCCAGTGTTGGGGCTGGAACACTTAATGAAATGATCATTCATTTACATGCCATTTCAGGCAACAGCAAATCTCTGCAAAGTTGGTTCTGATGATCCATTTACACATGGAGCCAAGGATATCGTCTTCCAGAGTCAGAGCACTTGTGGTTCCTTTGCTGGGACTTGCACAAAGCACTTGGGTATTGATGAAATCCCCCAAACAGTAACATGCTTTTAAATAACACCTAGTCCAATGCCAAAATGGGTGAGCGGGGACACACCATCACCTTACCACCCCAATTAACAGTTTACCTCCTCTGGCTGAGGGAGGACAATAACTGACATTGTCCCAGTGTGAATACGCTGCATTCTTGATGACATGCCTGTCTCAGGGATTCGCTGGACTCGATGAGTCCCTCCTTCATATTTCAGATGCCTGTAGACATCCTCTCCTGAAATATGAGCAGCAGCATGATGCAACCCTCCTAGAGAGACAAAAAGTGTGTGACAAATATAGCAGAGAAACACCGCCTTTAGCTTCATTGTCTTGGTGGAATGTCTGACGAACTACTGTACCTATCTCAGCTGGTGTATAGTTCACAATGTCAAAGGTCCAACGTTTGTAGTCTGCATAGTTCTGGTACATCTCAAACATTTCTTTAGTGAACTGCTGGCAGATGTCTCCTAAAAATATAAAGGCACTACAACATAAATAGCAGTTAACAAAATGGCAGTCACCAGTTTTTAGATTTCGCTGCAACTCTAACCCCACTCGTTACACGGGTTAATGCTCATCTTTAGAAAGCATCACTTAATGCCAATAAAGTATAAAAAAGCATTAAGAATAACCCATAAGAGGTTTAATAAAGTTGGATAGAGGTTTGAAGCAATCTTCACTGTAGGGACTTTGCTGACCTCCGGTTGTTCTGCCAGCTGTCACTTCCAATACAACAGGACTTCTATCGTATTTTTCCTTTGGCACTAGAAGCTGGAAAAGCTGAAAAGAAAAAAAAAAAAGAATGCTATTATCTCCTTCATGACTCTCTATCTCCTCTTAATCGAATTTACAGCCATCCTTTGCAACTGCCACAGCTTCAGCACACACAACCACTAATTTCTTTTGGCAAGCTAGTTAAGTAGGACTAAAAAGCTGTCCAATGGCCATTGCAGCTCAGTGCAGTCTGTGTGGAAATGGGATATGCTGGTGCATTCACATGAAAATTCAGTCCTGCAAAGTCAGGTGTCAGGTTACCCCGGTCAGCCCCACCTACCTATGAACACAAAGCTACTAGCTAACCCAGCCAATCTTTGCATTAGTCTTATTTTTCAGAAAGTGCCATTTCATATTATTTCAGTTTGAACATAGAAACGAGCCCAAACACAGAAGTTCCCACTGAATTGTTTAGCTTCTCTGTTTATAATTAATTGTGGTGCTTTCAGCTGAAGACAACATGGAAGGTTTCAATCAGAAATCTTTCAAGAATGCATGTTCTGCTGCCACAAACAGTTACTAGGGTGTCATGTTAGGTTTCAGTAGCACAGACTCACCATTTTTTTAATCCCCTTCAGCATTTGCAGACAGACAAGCAAGCAAGAAAAATTACTAAAATACTGAGCTTCTAAGACACAATTGTCACTAAGAATCTTACTAACAATTAATGTTGCCACTTCTTTTCATGGAGAATACAGAAGCTGGACTTCTGTTTCATCTAACACAAGTGTCAGTCTATTGGTAAGATCACAAAGGAACATTTTTCTGACATCTTTATTTACAAAGCTGTAAAATTTTACCTCAGGCTCACCTTTCTGCACAACAGGTTCATTTTTTCATCCAGAGTTTCCTTCTCTTCTAAGGCAAGCTCTAGAAGTTGTTTCTCATCTCTCCTGTCTAGCTCTAAATTCCAATAACATGAATAGATGTTAGCCAATCTCATCCATCTTAGAGCAAATTACAACACGGCCATTCAAAGACATGGACTGCAGCACATAAAAGCTTGCAGCATTTTACCAGCATAAAATATCAAATAAGAACTGCCCAAGCCGTGATGTCCATTGCTAACTAAATGATCATATTTTCCAGGTGTGCTGGAAGGAGTAGCAGGTATCTTACCTGTAATTAGACTGCCCCTTCCCACATTTTAGAGCTTACTAACAAACTAGGAAACATTTTCAGGTAAAGCTTACAGAAGCTCCAAACCTTTCCTGCTATGGAGGCTCCAATTTACAATCACTAAAAATGCTGATCACTTAACACTAGATTATACACTAAGTAGAAACCTGGAAGACAGTTGGAGTCAAGTGGAAAACCCAACACTGCTGAAACAGGGATCATCCTCTCCTTTTTGTCTTTCTTCCCACTGTTCTACCTGCTGAGGAGTGGCTCTGTCACTCATCAGAAAGTAAAACAATTCAACTCACCAGAAGATATAAAACAAGTCTGGTTAAATAAATACATGTTTTTACCATGCCAAGTTGAACTGGATTTAAATTACAACTGGACAATTACCAGCACAAATGAGGGAATGGGTGAAGACAGGTTTGAACAGCTGGGAGTGAGAACAAGGGAAGAAAGCAAGAAGAGGAGAAAGCCTTTTCCCTTGTGACCAGCATAGAAACCATAGGTCTGCCTCAGATGCAGCATAAATCTGGACACTCAGTCACTGAATGCATCTCCTCACCTTGCAGGACCAGAGCTCTGGACTCTGCAGCAGGAATTGGGTATCCCAAGAGCAGGCACAAGTACCGCAGGCTCCACATCGTTGGGCATCTGGAGCCTGGCTCCCCTTTGCAGTAGCCAACACACACACACAAGGGCACACACACATTTACTGGTGGTCTCAGCAGCAACCCTCAAGAACTAAATGCGTTGGTATGTTGATCAGCTTTGTATCCTGGGCAAGGACAGCAGCAGCTGTTCCATATCACAGTTTTTAATGTATGCTCTGGGTTTTTTTTCCTTAAATAAAATATGTCAGATCAAGACTTGAACCTGGCATCTCCTGTACATAAGGCAAAGGTAAGGTTGGAAAGGACCACCAGTGGGGTCATCTAGTCCAGCATCCCTGCTCAAGCAGGGTCATCCTAGAGCACATGGCACAGGATTGTGTCCAGATGGTTCAGTGAGGGAGACTCCACAACCTCTCCAGGCAATCTGTTCCAGTGCCTAGTCACCTGCACTGTAAAGAAGTTCTTTCTCATATTCAGGCGGAACTTCCTGTGCATCAGTTTCTGCCCATTGCCTCTTGTCCTACTTCTTAGCACCACCAAGAAGAGCCTGGCTTCATCCTCTTGGCACCCTCCCTTCAGATATTTGTATATATTGATAAGGTCCCCCCTCAGAACTGTAAAAATTTCCCTGCCAGTATGTCACTACTCCAGCCTAAAACTGTTACTGAATCAAAGGCTTCTAGCTGGTCCAAAAAGTATGATTACTGATCAATCAGACACACAATATCAAATTAACTACTGTCAGCAGAGGTGAGAGAATGGTTGGGTGGTGACCAGTAAGCTTACAGTTTGAAGGACTGATATCCCATTCCTACCTCCCTGCAAAACAGAATTCATTTAATCTACCTCATGACTCACATCACCAGTGGCAAACTGGGAAATATTTTTCTGCTTCACTGAGTGTTGCAAATATAAAATCCTACATCAGTAGTGAGGAATTCAGTTACTAGAGAGAAGATGGTCAGTTACAGAGCTAAATGGAAAAAAAAGAGCAGTCAAATGAAAGGAACATCTGTGTTTTAACTTGGCCACATGATAAACAGTAAGATAAAATAATTTGGCTCCATTTAATTAATTTATTGGCTGCAATTTTCTACCATTCTTTTCCCTTCTTTCAAGTAGAATGCACTCTATTCATCCACATCATAATTTATGGAACTGGAAAAATTCTTCATTATATTTACTTGATCTAAAAATAGCCTTTTTAAGTTGCAGTATGAATTTCCCAAAGTTTTCTTAATACTTTCTTATTCTTTCAAGAATATTTCTTTTTCAGCATTAAATTTTTGTCCCTTGTCTCCTTCACTTTCTCCTTTTTTCGCCAGTGAAGGGAATTAGAGAGGTTTGAGGATTAAAACATTTTAAATAACCATTTTTTCCAAAAGCACAAACAGTTACTTATTTCTGCCATTTTTCCTTTCCTCCCCTTCCCTCCCCTCTCTTTTCCTTTCCTCTCCGACCCTCTCCTTTCCTTTTCCTTTCCTACTGTGTGTGCCTCCTCGCACTTCTAACAATGATAGTTTTTTTCTCCCAAATGTTGCATCACTACTTATTTTATAAATTCTTTTATCCTCCATGTACTTTCTTATTCCCACATGGTACAAAAACCAGCAACAATTTTTAATTTTTTTTTACCTCAACTTCTACTGTAGCAGAGCATTGAAAAGCAACAGCTTCTTAGACAACCATCAGATTTATTCCTTAAAGGACTCCCCAAATATTTTCAAAGAAATACTAGCTTTTGCTGCTTATATTGGAAGCTGACAATTCAGAGCCTAATGAAAGTTCATCTAAATTGGTCAATAAATATCAATGAACTAGCCAGATGGACTCCCATTTTAAATAACACAGCTGAAGTCTGCATCTATCAAATGTTTTAGGCTCAGTAAATACTTTGCTTCAGTTCAAACTGCTCTCAGTTCTACCAAAAAAATAACCTTAATACAAACACTTCCCAGCCATTTCTGTTAGACAGATGGTCGTAAGGTTCCAGACGATCCCTACTCTCCTAAATTGACTGTATTAAGACCTCAAACTAAAGTGAAGTGAGACAAAAAGTGGAAGGATGTGGCTGGATGCAGAAAACCCAGGAGCAGGGAGAACCAGAGGGTGTTCCAGGGCTGGCTGAACTTATTCACAAGCTTTCCTCAAAGGCTGGGCAATGAAGTTTATCACAAACACAGCTACTGTTTTGAAAGTGTTCTCCTTACCTCTGCACATAGCTTCTAACTCCTGAACTTCTTTTTCAGCCTCTTTGATTTCTTGAAATGCAGCTGCAATGGGGGACAGATCGGCACATCTTCTCCTCAGGGTTCTTTGCTCAAAGTCATTTAATGCGTCTGCATTTAACAGATGACTAACCTGCTGGTATTCCTTGCTTAAAGTCTCCAGATACTTCTGCACAGCCTCATGCTTCCACAAAGCTTGAGAATCCTGATGGATTTCCCTATGCCAACTGTTAAAAGACAGAGTGAATCTAGCTGTGTCCAATAAAGACTTTGGCCTCCAAAATCCATGGTTGTGCAGTCCCACCACACACCCTATCTTCTTTGCAACAGGAGGGAAAAGACAGCTGGGAAATTGACTGTGACAGTAGCAATTGGCAAGCAGGCTCTTGAACAGACAGATCCTTTGGAAAGGTTTCATTTTGTTTCTTATTTTTCCACCACCTGAAATTAAAAGTAGACAGTGTTATTATCTAGAAAAAGAAAGCATTCTACTGAAAAAAACCCACAACAACAAACAAATGCAAGAGCTGTATCAAGCCCAAATCCTAGTTTTGATTACATCAACACAAATGCAACTGTCATGGACAAAATTATTCCTGGTTTAAACTCTTAGCAACACCATTGTACTGACTGAGGATTGGAAAAAGTCTCTTCTCTCACATTCTCAAACGGTTTATTTATGCTGTGGAAAAGCTACTGTAGACGTGGCTTTACAGACAACAGCTTCATTTTGCCACATGTCTCATCAGAAAAATCCAACCATTTCATGCCTTACTGGTAAAAGAAAAATGTTGCCGAGAAGACAAATCTATACCAGAGGTAAAGAATTCTATGTATGGAATGTATGAAATGTCCAGGATTACGTGCCAAGGTATATCCACTACCATAACAGGAGGACATTAGTACCTGACCACACAACAGATTAGTCAATAGGACTGCAACATGCAAGAAATCACTGTCCCATATATGCAGAAGGTAAGACATAGGAACAGTGTTTTATGTCACCTGTATGCTCCTTACCATGATATATTTACATGCAAGTGACATGATATTTTCCATCCAAAAAGTGAGTAAGAAGCAGGTACTCTGAAATACAACTCCTGTATTTTTCTGAGACACTCGCCCTACAGTTTTTCAGGACACATGCTCCCCTTAGCATCACTACTGCTCTAGGAAAGATCTTTTCATTTTGTATCATCAAAATTGCAAACTATGCTATGAATTACTACTGTGTTCTAAAAATTTGTATTGGAGCACAAGAGTCTGCCAAGAAGACTAAATTGAAATCATCCGCATTCTAGGACTACTCACACAGAAAAGATTTAACAAAGAAGTGCTCCCTAATAACTCTGCCATTGCCACATCCCATCTGCCTGTTGATTTTTACAAAGAAGTGGATTCAGAGAAAATAAGAGCATGAACATTTTTGCAGCAGGATTTCCTTGGAACATACATTTCAGTTTCCTGACACAATTTTGTCACTTATCAGTGACAAGACCTTCTATGCATCTTCAGGTTTTTTATTAACAAATTACTGTGACACTCTAACTACTCAACTCACCCATTATTCTCGCCTGTTTACTTTCATCCATTTGTCCACAAGGAAGAAAGAGCAATATACAGCAAAACCAGAAGTACTGCACCCTGCTTGCCTGGATGCCTGTTTTACTATCTACAGAAGGAGAGAAGGACCTTTATTCTACTTCTGCACTTTCCCAGACTCCCCAGCCAGCAGGTGCTATTGAATCCACAGCAGTAATTTCAGGACTGCTCTAATGTACAGAAAGCCAATTATACCTCTCATGGATTGCTCTAGTGACTAAAACCAGCTGTAGCAGAGATCCTGTTCCCTTTACCTTGAACACAGTAAAAGGCACAAATTGGGCTCATTATCTACAATCCTGGATTTAGTTGCTCAGGGGCATAAGTGGACTCAGTTCCAAAAGACCAAATGCTACTGATGATACTGGAATTGCTCCAGGTCAGCATGGGCCATTTTTGTCTGGTCAAGTGCTAACCATCATTAACTCCATTTTACAATATTAATGTTATATCTTATTTTAATTAATTCATTAAAGATATTAATTATAACCATCCAACTTATTTTTACTGGTGTAGTTAAGAAGCAATGTACTCAAATAATAATAGATGTGTAGTATTGTTTTGCCTGAGCTCCCAGAAATTAAAATTCTTAGCTTTAAATGCCTAAAAAAAAATGAGTAATGGCATGACACAGACCCTCAATGAAGTCAGAAATTTCAAAATAGCTTTGCTATCCTAAATAAAACAGGTATCTTCTTCTCAGACAGATGTTGCTGCATTACATTTGTGAAGAAATAAGCACATACAAAGCTTTTACAGAGCTATGAGCAGTAAATGACCTATTAAATGCTTTCCAAAACAGATTTTAATAACTTTTTTACTTGACAAAATTATCTTGTGCACATCACAAATCAAAACCGGTAAGCAAAAGTGACAACTGCAATTGTCTCATTAAAATAATAATTTATAAAATCGCAATTTCAAGACAGGAAAGAGCTGTCAATACCGTGAACACTTTAAGAGGTTATGAAAACCATTTCTAGCAATCAAAGATGCAAGTAACTCCATGCAGCTGAACTGAGGCAGAGGAATACACAGGAGGATGCGTTTCGGCGCACAAAGACTGAACCAGGATCAGCTCGAGGTCGCGCCTCCGAGGCCACCTTCCACACACCTCTGCCCCCCACCACGGCCACCCCGAGCTAAACCCCTGAACGCCCTGCACGAAGCCCCCCCTGGCAGCCCTTCCCCGCTGCAGGTGTTACGGGCGGACGGGGCAGGCTGGAGCAGGGAGACGCAGGAAGAGCCAGGAGCCAGAGCCAGAGCAGGGAGCCCTGGAGGTGGCGGGGGGTCGGAGGCGGCAGCGCGGCGAGCTCTGCTCGCCGGTCCCGTCCGGGAGCTTTGGCACTCACCGTCCGCACACACGGGCGCCGCACAGATCCTGCCTCCGCGCGCGAGGCCATGGCAGACGGGAAGTACAGCGGGCAAACTTCGAGTCCCAGCATGCCTTCGGAAAAGCAGAGTTCCCGGCGTGCTGCCGGCCGGCCAGCCCTCCGCAACACGGCGGGACCGGCATCTGCGGGCATTGCCTGAGCCCTGCCAGCAGGAGAGGCAGCCTCTGCTCTGCTGTGTGAAACCCAAGCCCCGAAACAGAAAAAAATGGGGAATGTGACCTTAAAAATAGGTCTTTGTTTTCGGTACCTTCCTCAGAGCTGCACAGTAACACACTCTGACTTCAGCAACACCTTGGGAGGAATGGCAAGAGTCAGAACAAATTACACACCTCATTCCATGTATTTTCCCAAAACATGGTCTGAAAATAAACATTGTTTCAAATCTGATTATTAAAGATTAATTTCACATAAGTCTGAATAAAATAACATTAATTTCCACTTTATGTCAAAGCTATTTAAAATGAATTATTACTATGTTACTAAAGACAAACACTGGTTACAAAATATTAATGAACTTAACCATTCCAGTTATCACTATGTTAGCTGGCTGCAGTTTCCTAATAAGATATGTTTAAAACCACATATTTTAATAGATAGTATTAAACAGATTATACAACTACCTCCCTAATCAGAATTTTAAAAATACTTAAGTAGCATTGGTTTTTTATCTCTATAATCACTTTAAAAAAAGCTTTATTCCCAGCTACTGACATTCAACGAGACTTTAAAAAAAAAAAAAGGCAAAACTTTGGGTTTTGGCATGTAAAACATCACTGGGGTTTGGTGTGGTAAATATTCCAAAAGACTGAAAATGAGACTGGTTGATGGGGAGGATTTGGATCAAACTTCAGAGCATGAATGACAACTAACTGCTCGCTTAGACCTGAGGACAGCTTTTGGCTCTGCTCCACCCCCTGCGACAGAAGTCAAGGCAGATGGAGGTAAAGGCTGTTCCAGAGAACAGGGCCCACCCTGGAACTGGTCCAATTTACAAAAGGGCCACAGCAAACAGCACCCTGAAACCTCCAAGTTGCTTCACCAGGCCCGAGCCTGCAGTGATTGGGCCATGAGAGATGCCATTGGTCGGACACCATCCCTGCTGTGCCTCACTCATCTTCCACTATGACTTTTGGGACTTAGTGAAATGAAATAATAAAATTACAGTTGCATTGGTAAGTATCAAATATGCAGTTAGATACTTAAGAATCTTGGGAAGGACAACCAAGAACCTAATAAGAACATGAAACTGCAAGTAGACCACCTGCTTCAAAATCGGTTTCAAAAGAAGAGAGTAGGCAAAGGAAAATCAAATCAGCTTCTACTCCAGCCAGTAATGGTTCTTGCATTAAATCCTCTGATTAAATGTGATCATGGTTCAATTTTTATTGTGCCTTGTGAGTGAATTCTTCAAATTACTTGTGAAAATAGAGACCATAACAAACTTCCATATCCCCCCTCTCCCATCAGGCAGCAGATTACACAGGGGCCACACTGCTGAGACAAAGGTTGGACATGTAGGATACACTCTTTCCCTAAGTCTACCGTACACTTTTAGACTGCAATATAGGAACAGAGTATAAGGGACTGAAAATTGCATTGCTGTCTGTGCTTTCACACCTCTCACTGTTTTGATGCCTTAAAACCTGCATGGCTGATGCAGAAGCTGGTGATGGAGCTGGTGAGGACCAAGGGTTATGGAGCATGGGCTGCTTGAAGCAGGGTGCCACTGCCTTCCTCAACAACCATGGCAGCCTGCAGGGCCATTGGAGGCAGAAGGGAAGAGTGACAGTAGAAAGACAGACAGTCTTCAAGGATTTGGGACAGAGATGGTGGTCCTGTACTTTAAAACCTGGCAATCCCAACCTACCAATTGCTTTAGAAACTGGAAGCAAAGAAATGGCTCATCAGACAGAACAGGCTCTAGGCCTTACAACACACTTGGCTTGAAGGCAGGTCCATGCCCACACAAAGGCCCTTTTTCGCTCAGGGGGCCCCAGCTGAGTTTAGCGATGTGCAAGCATTGTGCCACAACTTCTACAGGGCACAGAGTAAAGTGAGCTACAGGGCAAAAATCACAAGCTTGTTATAATGTATAGATCACTTTAATATTGCTTCCCCCTTTCAGCCCAAACAGATGTCAACAGACTTCTGAATTCCTTCTGTTTGAAGAAAAAACTGGTGACAGAATCATACGCTTCTTGAATACAGTGCTGTTTATTAACAAAGCCTGTAGCAAGAGCTTTGTTTTGCCCAGCACAGTGGGATTAAATGACAAGAAGTTTTCTTGACTGTGCTCCCAAACCTCCAGTTGAAACTGGAGCTCTGCCTCCCTGCAAAGCTCATTTCTTTGTTTATTCTTTCTCAGCTAGTCTACAAACGTTCCTTTTATTGCCTCCCCGCTTCTCTTTTCTTGCCACTTTTAACACAGACTTCTAATACGGACACATCTAAATGCAAATTGAACCCCTGCCTCTTATTTGCAATTTGCCTATTTTCACACAGCATTCTTTTAGTGTTTGGACTAGTGGGAAACAGAGCCCTTTGACTGTCAAGAACAGCCTTACTGCTTCAGACCAAAGGTCTACCTAGCGCCTGACCCATCTCGGTGGTGCATCTGTTTATCACTCAACCCAACCAGAGGCAAAAACATGCCTTTTGCTAAGACAGAAACTAGAGTTCATAAATTCAAGGCTTCAGCTAGTTATAAAAAATGCTGAAGACATGCCATGGTACAAACAGGCTCTCAAAATGATGCTGCAGGGCAAAGCCAAGTTGTCTGTCCCTGTCAACAATTCTCCTGCTCTGTAAAAATCAGACCCAGTACAACACTACTATACCATACAGCAGAAAGAAGAGTGAATTGGGTCATCATGGCTGGGCTTCGCGAACAAAGATTTGGGAAGGGCTCTACCCACATTTGTTACAAGCATGCTGGTGGCTAAAGAGGCCAATACGAGATAGACACGTCCGGTTGCAAAAGGCACAGCAGAAAGACTCCTTAGGTGGTATATTCTGCAAGGCACGATTCTTTCTGCGTTGTCTTTTCTCCTCGAGAGTGATCCTGCGTGCGTTCTCAAAAGCATCAGCAGTGTTATAGATGGTGTGTCTCCAGGCCTCCCGATTGGAGGCCAGAGTAGACCAGTTATGATGATCAATATGGCCAAGGCTGAGATGTTGCTTCAGAGAGTCCTTGTATCTTCTCTTCAGGGCTCCTCTCTTGCGGCAGCCAGTGGCAAGTTCATCATAGAGCAAGATCTTAGGGAGGCAGTGGTCCTTCATCCTGGAGACGTGCCCTGCCCAACGCAGCTGTGTTCTCAGCAACATGGCCTCAAACACTTGTGATTGCTGCTTGTTCTAAAACAGACATATTAGTCACATAATCTGACCAGTGGATGTTTAGGATTGTATGGAGACAGCGTTGATGGAAGCGTTCTAGGAGTCGCAGGTGGTGGCGGTAGATGACCCATGATTCGGATCCATATAAGAGAGTAAACAGCACAATGGCTCTGTAAACACTGATCTTTGTACTTTTCTTCAAGTGTTTATTATGCCAAACTCTTTTATAAAGCCTACTGAAGGCACTATATGCCTTTGCTAACCTGTTGTCTATCTCTCCGTCAATCTTACCGTCAGAGGAGATGAGGCTACCTAGGTAATTAAACTGCTGGACTGATTTGAGCTCTGATTCGCCAATGGTGATATGGGGATGATGGTACTGAGTGTGGAAAATACACTTATTACTCTCAGTGACCCAAGTGACTGACATAATTTAAAAACATGTCAGAACAAAAAAGTGAGAAATAAATACAATAACGATATTCCTTATTACAGACCATATATCTAGACAGATTAACAAAACACGATGAAAACCAACCATCATTCACAAAAACAGTGGCCACAAGCTAATGTTCAGCTAAGAAGAACTGTAGGAAAGCATACCCTTTATATTCTCCATACCTTTGCTATTTTCATCTCTGGAAGTTTCCTAAACGTATCTTTTTTTTTTTTCTTCTAGTTAGTAGTTCTTAAGTTAGGCTGACATCCAGGTTACTCGCTTCTTCCCTCCTTTAGCCTGAAAGGAAAGCAGCTATCATGGCATCAGCTTCGGCAAGGCTTGTGTCAAGTCAAGGACAGGCTGCTCAGGATCCTCAGTCACAGTCATCTACTTATTGTGAACCAAATTAGATATATTAAGTACATAGTTTTTCTAATTGGCTCTTGTGATATCCTGTTTTCTGCACCCCTGCTTTACTGCAGGTATCTGTTGGGTTCATCATCTGGGATGTAGGAGGATAACCATATTATTACAGAATTAAAATACCTTAAAAAAATAGCAAAATACAATTAATATTTTTAAAGGGTAATTACATAAACAGATTTTAATTGAAGCCACCGGGGTTTTTTTCACTTGTAAGATGGTCTTTTTAATTAGCTGTAACATTGACAATTTAAGCAGTTTTCCTTCTAAATAACGCCCCAGGCCATGTGGTTTTAGTGTTCCTGGTTGTTGGTGTTTTTTGTGGGTTGTTTGCTTGTTTTTTGTTTTGTGGGGGTTTTGTTTTGTTTTTTAAGGACGAATTCTGGGAACAACAAGAAGAAAAACATATTTTCAGAAGAGCCAAGCGATGAATAAACGACGCCGTTCCATGCATGCAGGATGGTGCCGGGAACTTTTACATAACCAACGTGCTGAAAATGCACTAATGACGTCCCCGCTTGCTCAAAGTCTGACTGCTTAAGTTTGCTGTTGTTTCCTTAAAGACCAGCCAGGGTAACACCAAGCCCGCAGAGCCTCCCCGAGCTCCGCCGTTAGCAGAGGTTTCGCTCTCTCCCAACACCGCCTCACAGGCTTCCGGGCAGCCTGGCTCTCCGGGGCGGCCGTCCAAGCGCCGAGAGAGGAGCGCTCCAGCCGACACGCCAGCAATCACAGAGGGAATCCTCGCTCCCGGCCTTGGGGCCAGGCGGGCGGAGGGGGGTATCCGTGAGGTGGAAGGGGCGGTGCGCCTGCGCGGAGGGGACCCCGGCGGCCATTTTGCAGCGTCAGGCGGGTGGCGAGGCCGCCCCGGCAGCTGCGCAGAGGGGCTCGGGGGAGCCGGCGCGGAGGGCGGGCGGCGCAGGGCTATGAGTTAAAGAGCCGCCGCCGCTCGGGCAGGAGCTGCCGCCGCCCTGCCGAGTTTGGGGTATTCCTTCCCTGCTTCCCCTGTCCTCCCGCCCCTCGTACCGCCAGCCGCCCGGCCACCCCCACCCCCGCCAGCCGTGCCTGCCCCGGGGCCGCCCGCGCCATGCCGTCCGTGCCGCTGCCGCCCAAGGAGAGCAACCTCTTTAAGCGGATCTTGGTGAGCCCCCGGCCCCGCTCTTCTCTCCTCCCGTCGCCGCTTCTCCCTCCTCCTCCTCCCTGCCGCACTCCAGCCTTGCTCGGTGCTCTCCGGGTCACTCCGCTCGCCGCCGCCGGAGCTGGCCCCGGCTGAGCGAACACGGATGCGGCGGCCGCGCTCGCCCAGGGGGGGCCGGGCTGCCGTCGGCTTCTCGTCCCGGTTCGTCCCCGCTTCCTTCCTTCCTTTGTCTGAGGCCCGCCGAGCAGGCCGGGCGAGCCCCCCCTGCTCGTGTCGGGGCCGGGAAGGGATGGTGTGGCCCCCGACCGGGCGCGGGCTCGAAGGAGGAGGGGAGCCAGTACCTCCCCGGGGCCGCCGGGCGCGTCCCGCCCCGCCCGCCGCCGGAGTGCGGGGCGAGCTGGGGCTGCGCCGCCGCTCCCGCCTGCGGAGCGGGGAAGAAGGAGACCTCGAAGCAGGGGGCAGGCGTAGCAGGGCTTTGCTGTTGCCGAGTCGATCTACATCGGTGGTTTATTTCCAGCAAGAGTGTCGGTTTCAGTGTAGAGGCCAGGTTAAAGCGATTTCGCTCAGTCAGCAGTTTTGAGTGTAGTTGAAGACGTCTGGCGGATTGAAGTTTTCCTGGTTCTGTACGTCCTTTGGAAGACATAACTTTTATGTGCTGGGCAACTTGAGCTCTTTGAGACTTCAGGGTCTAGAGGACGTTGAGTATTTGTGAGAGAACTTTAAAGGAGGAGCTCACTTTAGCTGTAAGTTTGTACTCAATCACTGTATCCTTTAAAATGCTAACACTTTATGGAAAGAAAAAGCCCCTATTCCTCCCTCCCCAGAAGAAAACACAACCTCCACACAAGCAAACACACTCCCCTTTTCATGAACTTGTCAGTGTGATAGTAATGGAGTTCCAGCCTCAACAAAACTGAGGTGTTTTTTGTCAGTTTGCCAGTCTGCAGGAGGAGGACGTCTGTGCAGCACACTAAGTAATCTTGTTGGCAGGCACAAATTTCTTGAGTTATCCCTGAATTGGTTTGGCTGGTTTCAATAACTTTGTGATTGAGAGGTGAGCATTTTGGCTTCAGGAAGCTGAGCTCAAAACACTGTGTAGGCCTGTGTACTCAGTATGGAGCTGGTGCATTTCAGCAGGTGCTTCAGAGCTGTTTTCTTTTACCTGCTTTGGGTAGTGTGCAGATTTTTAAAAACTTAATGGTTCTTAATGGGGATTTGTTGCCTACTGCATGCTTATGGTATGCATCTCAGTAAGTCATTCTAGCACTCCTCTTTCTCTCTGCTAAAAATAAATGACTAATATTAGAACAGTTAAGTGATTATTCTCACTAGTAGCGAACAAGTTCACAGTAGCAGTCACTTCTAAAGTTTTTTCAACTGAAGGGCTTTTCAGGAGATCATATTTTAGACGGAGGGTTTTTTTTATTAAACAGTGGATAAAACTTGTGAATTAGTGCTTAGGCAAGGATAAGAGGGATGCATAAAACTTCAGTGGATACAGAGATTTACTTTCTTTTCAAAGCTTTCAGAAGGCTTTAGGTGGTGCTGTGTAGTGTCAAATCACAGTTCCTAAAGTGTTAATCACAAAACTGTTGGCTTGGCTCTTCATATATTGTTGCTTCTTGAAACTTAATTTCTTATTACTTTTTTTCTAGCTCTTTCATGATGCACTCTCTTTCTGGAATGTTAATGTCTACATAGTAAAAAGAGAACCCTTTGGCTGCTTGACATGTCTCAGTATTTTAATGTAGTAGTATAGCTTGTGGTGCTAAAGGCTCTTTAACTGATCCAGCTCTTACTTACTTTGGCACTGCCAGAATACTTAAAATGCCCGTAGCATCCCTAGTAATTTCAAAAGTTGGGGGCATTTTGGGGGATTATGTGGGCGGCTGTATAATAAGGCCTTACAAGCATGTAGTGATTTAATGAAATGGAACAGATGCAAGGAAACTGTACTCATATATTAAGACTTAAGTGTTTTTATGAATGCTCTGCAGAGAATTAGCAGTTGTGAAATGGGAAACTCATTTGGAGAGCATTAGAAATACTTCAGAGTGAGTGACGTGGTGTGTGTATGTAACATATGAGACAGGTTATCAACGGTCTGAACAAGATGCCCACAACCAAGCTGACAGAGCTGCCCTGAGTGTTGTGGCCTCTTGGAGTTCAGAGGAAGCTGTGAAGTCTGCTCAAGAAGCTGAGTAAATAGTCTCTAAGCCACATCAGTTTGTGTGCATGCATGCTTGGCAGTGCTTGAAGAAGCTGACTTAAAACTAGCAGTTGGGTGATTAGGGAAGTAATAGCAACTGTAGCATAGGTAATAGTTCTGTTTGCTCAGGAGTACTGTGAGGTAGTGCTAGAGCTCATTTCTTTTGCTGTCCTGACTTCCAAGTCTGTTTTGTTTCTTAGGCTTGGACTAAGACTCTTCTGCAGAGACTTTTTCTCAGACTAGTTGCTCTTGCCCTGGAAGATCTGCTGGTGCTTGCAGGTGTGATGTTGTTCGAGATGAAGGGGCTGAGCAGCTTCAAGCTTTTATCTTCCACTTCTCAGTCTCAGAGAAAGCATGGATGAAGTATCTGAAGTATTACTCCCCTGTCATGGAAAGAGAAAGGCATCATAAACAAGAATTAATACAGGAATGCTGGTGTGTTTCTTGCCATCTAAAATCAGACTTCAGCTCAGGTGATTTCCTTAGTTAATGGGGCAGATGCAATCTAAAACACATACTGGTGGTAACTTAGAAATGTTTCTTGTTAGGGTTGAAGTTTGGTAATGTGTATTGGGTGTTTACCTCTGGTAAGCTTAGGCAGATCTTCTGTGTTTTGTATTTAAAATAGATTTGTAAGCTTGCCTTGAGAGTGTGTTTGCATTTAAGCTGCTTTGATTATTTTTTTTTTCCCCCCCTTCACCCTAGAATCCAGATTGTAAACTGTGTCTAATCTTAGAGTTAGTTTAAACATTGGCTTTATGGAATCAAATCAGCTCTGTCTGGATAGAGTACAGTTAGTAGTCTTTATAAGTGCTTTAGGGAAAAGCCTTGGGTTTCTTGTAGTACTTTCTTGGCTTACTTGCCAAATTGTTTCTATTTTTAAGGAATGCTTAGTGTCTTCTAGTAACTATTGGTGTCCCCAGGTAACACACAGTATAAGGTCTTACCTGATGTTTGTTTCATGTCTAATAACTGAGGACAGTATCATGACTGTAAATAACTAATCCTTTGATTTCTTAGTGAATTATTGTTGTTGCATCAAATAAGGTTTGCTGTTTTAATTGCAGTTGACTTCAAGTAATAAAACACAAAAAGTTCACAAGTATATCCCTTTGCAGCAGTGACTTGTTCCTGCCTGTAATTTCCATTTTCTGAAGTGAGGAGATCTTAGCAGTTATTTAAAGTGCCCTATCTGAGGAGTTGTTTAACTTCTCTGTGGTATCCTTTTTGTTCCGTAATTTCTTCAATAATCTTATGAAATTTATTCTTTGATAAAATATAAATATACAAGTGTTTGTAGAAGTTAATTAAATTAATTCTCATTTGTAGAATTCTAAGAGCTTTTTTAAGCTTTTATTTAATTAAATAATAATGGATTATAAGCATGCAAATAATCAGTCTCCTAGTAATGATGTGGGGGAGTTACGGAACTATTAAACTCAATAATTGTGAAGGTATGTTGTTATGCTAATTTGTGCCTCCCAAATGAGATGAATAACATATCTGAGGTAGCCATTGTAATCCACCACTGGAGTAGTGGGTGTTTGAAGTCATTAAAGATGCCTTCCTTTAGAGAGAGGAGTGTGGAGCAGTCAGGTAAAGTCTTCTTGGTGTAACTTCTAAGACTGATCAGTGGTGTGGTTGTTTCTTGTGCTGCTAAGGACGGGCAGCCTAGGAAGAGTGCAGGCCATTTCCTTGATATGAACTTTGAAGAGAGGTGGTGAGGATGCCTGACCAGCTGCATTCTTCTAATATGAGAGTTGTGGAGGATAGAGAGCAGACTAATGATTATAGTTAGTAAGACTTTCATAAGGGAAGATGAGACTACATATTTGTCAGTAATTTGAGAGAGTCTGATTTGGAGAAGACTTTATCCTAAGTAAATATTCCTGTTTTAATTTTTCAAAAGGAGTTTGTGAAGGTTGTCATGAAAGGCTCATAAAGCAGGCTTCTATGGAATGATGCTGGTTGTTTCTTCACTCTGGACCTTCATACAGGAATTTTCCTTTAAAAAATGGTGATTTTTCAGAGTTAATTCCCCTTGTGCTGGATATTTTTCCTAATTGGTGGTGGTTATAGCACTGAATAGCAAGAAGAGTTCAGTTGTACTGAACTATTCAGTGCACAAACAGTGAAGGCCACCTGCAAATATGCAGAAGTACTTCACATTTCTGGAGTAAGTTGAGTCATAACAAGTAAAATTGGTTGTAAATGATTTGGAAATCCTAATTTAATGCGGACCTGCTGTGGGCTGTAAGATGGATTGCCTCTAAGATTGGCAGTTTTAGGGATATTTGAGGTTCTGTTAAAAGAGTTTTCTTATGCAGTAGTTGAAAACCACTGAATCCTGGGAAAAGAAAAACGCTGTTATGCCACTGCTCCAGTACATTGCAAGTGTACATTTGCAGTGTTGTGTGCTTTGCTCTTTCCCCTGGTCCTGCTCCCAAGCCTCCTGA